TATATATATATATATATATATATATATATATATAGAGAGAGAGGAGGAGGAGGGAGGAAGAAGAAAAAGAGAGGAGAGAGAGAGAGAGAGAGAGAGAGAGAGAGAGAGTGAGAGAGGGGGAGGGAGAGGTGGTGAAAGAGCGCCGGCTCCCGACCAAATGTCGCCGAGACACTGAGCGCCTCGCTGCACTAGCGCTTCCGGAGTGTCACACATGTAGCGCTGCTCCCTCGCTATAGCTAGCATAGCATATAGGTAATACACACATCACGACTGCATGCCAAATACGCAGTGCCTGGAGGTACGGAAGCCGTCGTTCGTTGAAGCCCCTTTTTGGCGTTAGGGTTAGGGTTAGGGTTAGAGTTAGGGTTAGGGTTAGGGTTAGGGTTTGAGTTAGGGTTAGGGTTAGAGTTAGGGTTAGGGTTAGGGTTAGAGTTCTAGCTCATCTAAACTCTCAAATCGTGAATTTATTTTCCAATGCGTTATTTCGAAATCTGGCGCCACCGCCGCCATCTTTGTCTCGTTAAGTACGAACGCGAATGGACTGCCGTACCCGTAGCCTCGAGACATTAAGATACGGCTGCAGCGCATGCGTGGTGTGACTGCCGTACCCGTAGCCTCGAGACATTAAGATACGGCTGCCGTACCCGTAGCCACTGCCTAATAAATATTATACAATCCCCGCTTCTCCAGGAGGTGCGCAGCTACATAGACGAATCACGTGTGCTCATGATGACATGCTGTGGGCTGGTGGAGAACCACTGTCCGCCAGCTTGCTTCACTGTGATTGCAGCCTGGTTATCACGGGCTGGTGAAGCCAGATTACCCCAGTATAACTATCCCCGGATGTCATCACAGGCTGGTGAAGACAGATTATCCCAGGATAACTATCCCCGGATGTCATATCACAGGCTCGAGAAGACAGATTATCCCAGGATATCTATCCCAGGATGATCATCACGGTCTGGTGAAGCCAGATTATCCCGGGGTAGCTATTCTGGGATGTCATCACGGGCTGGTGAAGCCAGATTATCCCAGTATAGCTATCCGGGATGGTTATCCCAGGCTGGTGAAGTCAGGCAGATTATCCCAGGCTGGTTATCCCAAGCTAATTATTCAACTGATGCTGATTATCCCAAGCTAATTATCCCAGGCTAATTATTCCGGACTGATTATCCAAGGCTGATTATCCCAAGCCAATTATCCCAGGCTAGTTATTCCAGGCTAACTATTGCAGACTAGTTATCCCAGTGATTATCCCATGGCTATCCTATGGCATACGTTATGGGCTAGCCACGTACCCCGCAAATCCTGGTTATACTAGATTGGCTGTTTGTTGGTTATCCCATGCGACATATAACTGGTTTGTTATCTCCCCTGCCTGGCTTTCACAGGTCGGCTCGGGTAACCCTTCCTGTTTATCCATGGATGATCATCACACCCTGGTTGTTCCTGATCTGCCTATAGTAGACGGTGCCTGTGGCAGAGCGAAGAGCTATAGTTCTAGAGATACCGGTCTATATGCACATGATGCCATGTTGCACCAGATGCGCCTAATCTGGGTGAACGATTATTCACGGTCAGTGCAAACGTCTCCACCCTCAATTAATATAAAATGTCGGTGAAGCAGCTTGCTTTTTAATCAAACTGGATATACAGTCAAACCTGTACCACACACAGCGCACCTCCACAAAACGGACACCCGTCTATAAAGTGCACTTTTACGCGGTTCCCTTTGCGAGACCCTCTTACGCAGGATTGACTGCATGACTATACATTGATTGCTGCATCTCCGCTAATGCCACCACCGTGTGGGAGGTGACGACAGCTGAGAGCCGACGGAAGACTGGGCGTGAAGAGAGGATGGAGTTACAGCTTCCCACCGACGCACAGCGACTGGCTTCAGGCTAACAGAGCCAGCTTGCAGCTTTTCTACACTTCTCGCCGGCCCCCCACATCAGCTTGGCTTCCTTGTTCTGTGACGCGTACAGCCTCGGCTACGTGCCGCTAAAAATCGCTAGGCAATTTTGTGAAAAGCCGAGCTTTAATAAGGCATGCTGCTTTACTGCCCTTAAATATTTATGAAAGCTAGTTATACGGACTGACCCTGATTAGAAAATCCCATTCCATCCCGAGCGCATCTGGCCTGACGTATTATTATGCACACATGCCAAGCTGATTTACTCTGGCTAACCTGGATAAACATACCGAGATATTGGGCCTGGGAATACCAACCCTTCACAGCGAGCCCTGGCACAATCATCTTTCCACAACCAGCATGGCACAACTAACCTAGCACAATCTGCCTCGCACATCCAGCATGGCACAACCAGCCTGGCACAACCAGATTGGCACAACCAGATTGGCACAACCAGCCTGGCAAAACGAGTCTCGAATAGCTAGCCTGGCGTAATCAAATTGACATAACCAGTCTTACATAATCAGCATGAAATCACTAGCCTGGGATAGCTAGCCAAACAACCTGTCTAGTATAACCAGTCTGTTACAACCAACTTCATATAATCAGCATGGGGTACAGTCAGATTCACTTATGTCTAAATTTAATTTTGCATTTAAAAGCTCATATCGTTTCCAAGAAAGTATGGTTTCACAAATCTACAAAAAAACTGATAAACGAAAGTACATTATAACCTAAGGAACCAGACTAATATTAATAACGAGCCATTTATACGAACTTACCATCCAAGATCATATTTCAGCAACTACCCCAAATCCAAACCAAGTATTATGAATGAGCCGCTGGCACCTTAAACTTGTCGGTCCTCATAAAGGAAAAAAACCTTTTCGAGAAGTTCTAAGGAATTATCCAAGACGAAAAACTTCCATTTTCCACGACTGTGAGATTTCCGCCAAACACAATCTTTGCGTACATATCGTATCAGGTAACCAACGATTAGGTAGTTAATCTAGCTATTCCTCTGAATATCAAACACAATAACAGTCTATATTTTCCACAATTTACAGGACCTTCCATGCGTGAAAAATGGGGTTCGAAAAATTCCAGGACGTTCCAAAACTCGAGAGGCATTAATTTTTTATTTACTACCATCCCCAGCTCAGCGCAATATGACATGGTACTACTCACACATTAGACTGAAGCTTGACATCCGATGGTTTCCTACGCTTGCATGAAGTGGCCTCAGCATTGGCAGAGTTCATCTTCTCATTGCTAATATCAGCCCATCTGCACGCAGGGCCTTCCTAACTCTGGTATACGGCAAATCTGAAAGTAATGCAAATCACCATTGGAACGTCTGCGTCAAAATCGGCGGAGAATATCTGACGTCGCGTTCATGGACGGACGACTGCTTGTGCATTGTGAAATTGTAAACACGTGGCTATCGTTGTACGTATAAATTACGTGTATCGTAATGTGAAGTATATTGCTTACGGATACAATACGGCCAGAAATGCTGTGGGGGTGAAACGTTTTATGTTTATTACATTTAACTTTTAGTACTTGGCTTACGAAAGAAAAATTTCCTGACTAATGTCGACAGTCAAAATGAAATTTAAATGAAAACAACAATACCACGGTGTGTTGCACATTTGAGGCCAAGCAATAAATCACAGCTCAGCAGAGGTAAACAATTGGTAATCGGCAATGGCGATAACAAAGTGGTAAAATTAACGAAAATTTATGACTATTTTAATTTTTGTATGTTGACAGACAGACCAAGTTAAAAATATTTTATCAGTTCTTTTTTAAAGTTCATTAGTTTAAACCAATAAAAGATTTAAAGCGTAACGGATACAGTGAATCAAGTTTAGGATCCAAGAGGGGTACCAAAAGGCAACAAGGCATTCGAACAAGGAACTTCGTCGCATCACTAGCTATTGCAACATCACTTGCGTATAATAAAGCCGAAATGATAACAAGACAGCGCTCGAGCAAACACTCGCAAGGCTTCCGTCATGAGTTATCTTTTTTTCGGAATTGCGCAACCTCGTTCGCACGCGGTGCTGCTGGTGTGCCGGTGGTGGCACAAGCATGCACAGGCTCTTCCCCTTTTTGCTGCTACAAGTTACTACGCGGCAGAGCCCCCAGGGCGCGACCGTAGCATTCCGCTACCACTGCAAATGACTTATTTACGTTGGACATCGGAATTAAGTATACAGCGGCAGAGCGTTGCCCATAAATTAATACCGTAATGCCTCCCGCATCCTTTTGCAGAACACCTATTTAAAGCGGTCAGGAGAACGACGCTTTCCCAATCAACAGTATAGAACTTCCTGTAACGTGTGACGCGATGTCAGCTGACAAGTAAAAGAAGTGCAGCAGCTCTCTTCTCTACATCTCGCTGCCTTTCTTACTATCTTCCATCCCTCTACGTGTCCATATGTTTGTTCCTCTCACTAATTCCCCCCTCTCTCGTCTCGTTCTCTCTCTCTTTCTTTCTCTCTCTCTCTCTCTTTCTTTCTCTCTCTCTCTCTCTTTCTTTCTCTCTCTCTCTCGTTCTCTCTCTGTCTCTCTTTCTTTCTCTCTCTCTTTCTTTCTTTCTCTCTCTCTCTCTCTCTCTCTCTCTCTTTCCTCCCCCCTCTCCCCCTCGTGGAGGACTATCAGTGTGGTGTGTGACACTGTTGCTACGTAACACTTTGAAGCTGCAAACATCTGCTTTACGTGAGTGCTGGGTTTCATCTGCTGCCTCTTGCCGGTGCAGACACAACGTAATGAACTGCGACGCTGGATTCGGCCCGAGGTGATTTGAAGCATTGAAAAGTGTTTCTCATCCTAATGATTGGATTTTATCCTGTCGCTGTAACGCTGTTTGCTCTAGTGGTTTTGCTTAATCTCTGGATTTCGCTATCAATACATTGAGGCACTGGGCAAAATGCACACACCACAAGGCCCCCGACGCGATTACACACAAGGAAAGGCGGTTAAAGCTAGCTCGGTCACAGATGCGCTTAACAATGGCTTCTTTTTTTTAAATTCAACGAGCAAAAAAAAAATCTAAGAACCGGCAGCTGTACATAGCTAACTGTGAAACTTCGTGTCCGCATTTTACAGCTGCACGGCAAGCTCCGATTGTTGCGAGTACAATACGCTTTCAGGCTGTGTCGACTGTACACACAGGAACCATGCAGGCGCCGCAAAATACGAACAATGCGCAAAACGTAACCCTTATTTACACCCTACTACGCTATTATATATATATATACGCACCCCCTATACAACTCCCTAACAACTAAATGCATTTAGCCCTCGCGTGGAACGAATTTGCAGCCGTGTCCAGCACTGCCGTGCACCTTTTCACCGACACCGGAATAATAATACCGCCAGCGCCTACTGTACGGCCGCTGTTGCTGCTGCTGCATGCCCACCGTGCACATCTCCGCGAGGCATATACACACACGCGCATACATAGCACAGAGGCCACATTCGGTGGCCGCAACACGCCTCACTTGCACGCTCTGCGAAGCGACACCGTTCACAAGGCTTTGCCACCTATGCACCCCCCCCCATCCCCTCACCTCACCACATACACGCACACCTACTCTACTGTAGCTGGGCATGGTTAACAGAGAGCAGGATAGTTGGCGGGACATGCGTAACGGAAACCGCTACGAATATTGCAAATAATTCTGTTATAGATTCGATGCGGTGAAAAAGGAAGCGTTATTACTAGAAAAAGAGTTACGTTGGTTAGGAAAACGTTTAAATGTCGTGGAAAATAATGCTAGCAGAACGTGTTAAGTTACCGCATTATTTGCACGAATACAGGGGCACACGAACGCCCCCACAAATAAACAGCGTAAAGCACACAGATAGTAAAACCCACATACATAACACACTGTACAGAACAGCATACACACACACACGCACGCACGCACGCAAACACGCACACACGCACGCACGCACGCACACACACACACACACACACACACACACACACACACACACACACACAACACGCGCAAAAACGGTGCACGTCGCGCATAGAGAGCAACCACACACACACAACGCACGCCACGGACGCACGCACGCACGCACATACTCACAATACACAAGCACACGCAACACCCCACGCGCCAGATACACGCATGCTCGCACGCAGCACTTTTACCGAAAATAGTAGGCGTGTACGTCACACAAACAGGCACAGTTACGCAGACGTAGGAGCACAGCTGCGTAAAAGACGGCCGACGGGCTGCGATCATTAGCCTGGACCTGTTTTTCGAAGGACAGTCGGTGCCACAGACAAGAGCATCACTGGACGCGTTTAGTGAGCATAATATTCGCAGGCAAGCACACAACCCGCACACACGCGGCGCTCACGCATACAGCACGCACGCACGCCACGCACGCACGCACGCACGCACGCACACACACACCACACACCACACACACACACACACACACACACACACACACACACAACCGCAGACAGAGGCACGCAGGCATACGCGCACACAAACGCACACACACAGGCACACACACACACACACACGCACACGCACACGCACACGCACACGCACACACACACGCACACACACACACACACACGCACGCACTCATACACGTACGCGCGCAGGCACAAAACGCAACCGCATACATACTTTTATTAGCAGGTGCACGGCGAACCTTTCGTGTGTAAATGAAGTCGGTGAATGAATGAACAACGCACATGGCGAGCGATCGCACATTTGTTACGGCGGCGTGGCGCGCACACAGCCACACGCACACGCAAACGCAATGCTAACTTGCTACGTCCGCAGCAACCATCAGGAATACAGCTACAGGTACGCACGCCTAGTCACACAATAGCTGCACGCACGCACACACGCACACACACGCGCGCGCACGTCACCGTCCACGCAGTCGGTACAACACACAAGAGCCGCGTTAGTGGAGCGGATAAACACGTAAGATACCCAAAATTGTGGACTTCTAGGTAAAATCGAGAAACAGCGCGCGTGTACTGCCCAAATAAATTTCCCAAAGATCTTCAGAAATAGCGCCAATTAGCGGTCGGCGGTTATTACGACAGTGAGAGGTATTACGACAGTGAGAGGTATTACGACAGTGAGGGGTATTACGACAGTGAGGGTTTACACAGGAGAGGTATTACGACAGTGAGAGGTATTACGACAGTGAGAGGTATTACGACAGTGAGAGTATTACGACAGTGAGGTATTACGACAGTGGAGAGTATTACGACAGTGAGAAGTATTACGACAGTGAGAGGTATTACGACAGTGAGAAGTATTACGACAGTGCAGGGGGTATTACGACAGTGAGAGTATTACGACATGAGAAGTATTAGACAGTGGAGCAGGGATTACACAGTGAGGGGTATTACGACAGTGAGGGGTATTACGACAGTGAGAGGTATTACGACATTGAGACGTATTACGACAGTGAGGGGCATTACGACAGTGAGAGGTATTACGACAGTGAGGGGTATTACGACAGTGAGAGGTATTACGACAGTGAGAGGTATTACGACAGTGAGAGGTATTACGACAGTGAGAGTATTACGACAGTGAGAGGTATTACGACAGTGAGGGCATTACGACAGTAGGGCTGCATCGACCAGTATTACGTACAGTGAGGGGTATTACGACATGAGAGGTATTACGACAGTGCACAGTATTACGACAGTGAGACGTATTACGACAGTGAGCGGGATTACGACAGTGAGAGGTATTACGACAGTGACAGTATTTACGACAGTGAGACGTATTACGACAGTGAGAGGGGTATTACGACAGTGAGGGGTATTACTAAACTAAATGGTTTACTAAACTACAATAAGGATACTCTCCACGTTGTGCACGGGTATTGCTCTAGTGAAGATTAAACGTTTATTGGCGAATGAATCGAATCAATCACTTTGTTTATTTATAGAGGAATATATCTCTATGCTCAAGCCACAAAAAATATTCATGAAAATTCCAGCCACTAATTATGTTCCCACACAAATGTTTGAATTTTATGTAAAATGTGTATTTTGATATTTCTCAATTACCAGAAAGAGTGAGGAACAAATTTTTGCCACATGTAAGCACAATATGGACCAAATAGCGAGTCAGGATTTTTCTTATAATTTTCATATTTACCGAGAAAACTCGCAAAAAACTGCTTAAAAATCAAGTTGTGTGTTAAAATAGAAAATTTTAGCGAATAAAGAGGCATAACTAATAAACTACCCACTTAATAACAATCCCTGACGCGCTTTTTTACCACAATATGTTACATTTAAACGAGTGTAAAATTAA